TAAAAAACATACCAAATAAAACTATGTATTGTTTATGAATGTGAAGCAAATCTGAATGGTAGATAAAGAAATTTATATGCTCTCTGAACTTTATATTTGAAATGTTTTATAATAAAAATGTGATGTACACAAACCTTTTAGAAGAAATAGACCACACCTAGGGTAAAGCACTTTTGGTAGCCTTGACTCTGACTTTGTAGCTTTATTTTCTATTCCTGCTCAGGAAAGAATCAGGTAGACTGATGAGAATGATGGGCATAGCTAATGTAAAATACCTTTATGGTATATCTAGCTTACTAGAGTTTTTATTGGCTTAAAAAGAACATCAACTTGCCCAAGCATATTTTGAAAAATTCAAATATAATAACTTCCCCACATTCTAGAACTTTTTGGCAATGTGTTAAGTCAAGTATTTCCAGCCTGTCTCTGAACATCACTGTTTATAAAACATTCCTTTCTCTGCTAGTCTCACCAACTTTAGTACCAATGTTCTTTAAAAATCTTTTAAATTATTTTTTAAATTTTTTGAGGGAGAGAGCATGTGTGCGCAAGTGTGTGAGTGGGGGAAGGGCAGAGGGAGAGGAAGAGGGAATCCCAAGCAGGCTCCACGGCCAGTGCAGAGCCAGACCCAGGGCTCGATCTTACCACCGTGAGTTGGATACTCAACCGACTGAACCACCCAGGTGACCCTAAAAATATCTTGTACTAAATATTTAATAATGCTATTGACCTCTAATTCCTAATACTGTTTCTCTTTCTCCTATACACATTTCTCTTCTAGACAATTTCACATTTTCTAATTCTGCCATTGGAAACAGTAGCCAAACAGCGTGAACACTCCTCAAGTAGTGCTGAGCTGCTCAGCCTCTAGCTCTCATGGCCTCTCCTTGAGGCTGATAACTTCAGGCTATCCGTTTCTCGATTTGTGACATCTACTCAGAATTTGTCTGGTCCCTCATCCTTTGATGGGCATCTTGAAATAAGCTCATATTCTCCCCTTTTATTCTTCACCTTTGAACAATTTCCATTAAAAAAATTCCTCAGCTGTCTCCATTTTCCTATTCAGATGACCTGTTCTCTACTCTAAGTTAGCCCCACAAGCATCTCCTTTGTGACCTATGGTTCTTCCTTTACCTTCTCTTGTCAACTGCCTCCACCACAGCAACTTTTCTCAGCTCACAGCACACTGCCCAACACACACCCATTACAATACCAGACCAGCATCACCGAAAGAACCCTAACTGTCTCTTGGGAGAATGAATGCTTTGGTTGAGATGCTGAAACACCCAGTTACCCCAGGCTCCCAGGCCTTTCCTACATAAAGATCTAATAATAAGCTGTGATTCAACTAATACTTAGAAACTGTCTTATTATAGGGGCAGCGAGGTGGCTCAGTTAGTGAAGCGTTGGCTCAGGTCATGATCTCAAGGTCCTGAGATCGATCCCAAGTCAAGATCCACGGTGAGCATGGAGCCTGCTTAAGATTCTTTCCCTCCCCCTCATTCTGGCCCTCCCCCACATACACATGCTCATGCACACGTGCACTCGCACTCTCTCTCCCTCAAAATAAAAAAGAAACTGCCTTATTACAGATTTTTGAGCAAACCATATATTCACCAAGAAGGACCTCAAAGAAGAAAATCTAATTCACACCTTAAAAATATCTAGAGGAAAAGACATGCAAGAAAATTACAGTATAATGTGTTACATGCATCAACAGATGTTTGTATGCATAGATTCATTCATTTTTTGATTACCTATTCTGTGCCAACTAGTGGGGATACAGTGGGTAACAACATGAACCAAACCTTTGCCCTCACAGAGTTTATATTCCATTGGTAGGTGGGGCTGGTAATAGGCTAAATATTTTCAAAGTGTTTAATGAGTGAAATATGAAAGAGATAAAATAAGTTGTGATATTGAGCAGTGTCTAAAATAGGACTGAAAGGTGACAATTAGCCTGAGAGAGGATAAGGAGTCAGTCATATGAAAAGTTATTCTAGGCCCAAGGACAACAAACCCAGTAGACTGAGGCAGTCACAAGCTTGCCAGGAATCTGCTTAATTTTTCTAGAGCAGGTTGAAATGTATGAGTCAAGGCAGAATGGAGAGAGAGAGAAAGTGAGAAAGGCAGGCAGGGCCCAGATTCTTCCAGGCACAGTAGGTCCAGGATGGAGTTGGAGGCAACTGGTTTCAGCTGGGGAGCAACATGGTTTGATTCATGGTTTTTTTTTGTTTTGTTTTGTTTAAGTTTATTTATTTATTTTCAGAGTGAGAGAGAGGAGAGATAGAGAGTGCAAGTGGGGCAGTGGCAGAGAGAGAGGAAGAGAAAGAGAATCCCAAGCAGGCTCTGCACTGCCAGCCCATAGCCCAACGTGGGGCTTAAGCCCTTGAACCCTGAGATCATGATCTAAGATGAAGTCAGAAGCTCAACATCTGAGCCACCCAGGCACCTGTGATTCTTGGTTTTTAAAAGAGATCCCTTTGGCTGATGTGTAGATAAAAAACTCGATGGGACACCTGGGTGGCTCAGTCAGTTAAACGTCTGACTTTGGCTCAGGTCATGATCATGCGGTTCGTGGGTTTGAGCTTCATGTCAGGCTCTGTGCTGGCAGCTCAGAGCCTGGAGCCTGCTTCGGATTCTGTGTCTCCCTCACTCTGTCCCTTCCCTGCTCACACACACACACACACACACACACACACACACACACACACACTCTCTCTCTCTCTCTCTCAAAATAAATAAACATTAAAAAAATTAAATAAATAAAATAAAATAAAATAAAATAAAATAAAATAAAATTGGAGTAGAAGCAAGTAGGCTAGGGAAGTGGCTTCAAGTATCAAATGAAAATGATGGTACCTGGCATGAAGGTGCTGACAATGGAGATCGAAACAAGTGGATGGATACAGAACTGTCTCTGCAGAATTGACAAGACCTGCTGACTGACTGGCAGGGGGTGGGAAGGGGAGGGGCTTCAGCCCAAACAGTGGTGTCATAGACAAAGGGTAGCTCCCCTCTCCCTGGCAGAGAGGTGTGTTGGGGAACACATTCTCAAAGAGGTGACATTTAAGCAGGTTTGAGAAACAGAAAATAGCAAAGATGACGTGGGAAGATTGGAACCTCGTTCATTGCTGGTGGGAATGTAAAATGGTGCAGACACTGTGGAAAACAGTAGGGTAGTTACTCAAAAAATGAAATACAGAATTGCCATATTATCAAGCAATTCCACCTCTGGGTAACTACTCAGAAGAATTGAAAGGAAGGACTTGAATGGATATTTGTATATGTACCGTGTTCATAGCAGCATTTTTCATAATAGTGAAATGGCAGAAGTATCCAAGCATCCATCAGGGGATAAACAAAATGTGTTATATACATTCAACTGAATAGTATTCAGACTTAAAAAGGCAAGCAATTCTCACACATGCTACAACATTGAAAAAGCTTAAAACATGAGGCTAAGTGAAAGTGTCAGTTACAAAAGAATAAATATTAGATGATACCAATCATATCAAGTACCTAGAATAGTCACATCCATAGAGTCAGAAAATAGAACAGTGGTTGCCAGGGGATAGAAAGAGGAAGGAGGGTTTTTTCTATTTTTTCTTTTAAATTTTTAATTTTAAATTCTAAGTAATCTCTACACCCAACGTGGGGCTCAAACCTACAACCCCAGGATCAAGAGTCACATGCTCTACGAACTGAGCCATCCAGGTGCCTGCCTCAAGGAGGGTTTTTTTTAAAGTTTGTTTAATGGTACACAGTTTCAGTTTTGCAAGATGAAAAGTATTCTGGAGATAGTGGTAATGGTTTCATAACAATGTAAATGACCTAATGTCACTGAACTTAAAAATGGTTAAGATGGCAAATTTTATGTGTATTTCACCACGATGTGTTTAAAAGAGAGAAAAGAAAAGAAGAGAAAACAGGAGTTTTCCAGGCAGAGAATTCTAGGTAGAAGCAGCAGCATGTGTGACGGCATGGAGACCATGGGTTACGAACTGTGACATGTTCTTCAGTGGGACATTTAAAATATTATGATCATCACTGCTATTCATTAAAATTCTGAGGGAAAACTCTGGCTTAATCAGATTCTTAAAAGCCTGAATCTTTTTATGTTGCAGTCCACATTCTCCTAGATGTCAGTTTCGTGGTAAAGACCTGCTTCCAGGCCCAAGATTGCAAAATTCTGTAGCCCCAGTTGTGATAAGGGCAGTGAAAAAAGTACTTGTGCAAAGAAACTGGTTCCAAAAGGGAGCTAACTTGGAGAGGGAGTGACAAAAAGCTTCCAGAAGGAAAGACTGATGAAAGGCAATTAAATTAACATATGAACTCGAACAAAAAAGTCTGGGACCTATGCCAGCCAGTAAGACAAAGGGTAAGACTGATAAACAAAGGAGGTGGGAGGATTGGGTTAGGGAGAGGGTAAATGTGGATAGTATGTTTCCCAACCATCAAAACTGCCCAACTTGGACTTCCATAAGCAGAAATCGCAGAGGTTGCAAACCCAGTAAACTAGGTTTGCCAATAGGCTCCTAACACGTTTTCTGGACTTCCTATCTTATGGGGAACTATCTTCTTAAACGCTTTCATTCAGAACACAGAAGGTGTAATGAATATCCCTGCCTCCATTTAACACAGCCAAAGGCCTTGTTCTGGAAAGGACAGACAGGAAAGATAGAGCCTGGCTTTCACACGTCTCCACCCGCGCCCCCGTCCCCATTTCCCTTCCTCAACTTTCCCACTTCCCACTTCTTATCTTGGAATAAGAACGAGTCCCTCATCCATCACAGCTCGATACGATCTTAAAGGCACCAGGAAAAGGAGGCGTTGCCGCCGCCCTCCTACTTTGGGGCTGCCTACGGTGAGCCGGGCTGGGTGCGCGCGGCTGCAAAGGGCACAGGAACCACAGCCCGGTACCTGGCGCCCCATGCGCCACATCGCGCGTTCACACGGCCCGCGACCCTCAAGGCTCCGGCGGCCGAGAAGCGGCTCACCCTTCTCCTTGGTTACGAGGGAGACGAGCGGCACCCGCGGGCGGTCGCTGAAGATCTCGGCCTGTTGCACCAGCGCCTCGCGCACGCTTTGGAAGTCGCTGAGGACCACCACCAGGTAGTGGCCGATGAAAAAGCTGAAGACGTTGCCGTATACGCGGGCCAGGTCGGCCAGGTACAACTGCGGGCCCAGGGCCGAGGGCTCCACTCCTGCGGCCCTCGCCCGGCGCTGCAGCCAGCTCTTCCGTCGGAGGAACGGTGGCAGCAGCACGAAGCCGAAATTGCCCACCACGGGCCAGGGCGTGGGTCCGGGGGGGATGCCCCGCGCCCGGTGCCGCCACAGCCAGCTCCAGCCGAGGAGCGCCGCGAGGCCGAGCAGCAGCAGCGCTCCGCCGGTGGAGTCCAGCCGCAGCAGCCCGGGAGGCGCGTGCAGCAGACGCAGAGGCCAGGGCGAGACCTCGGCCGGGGGCTGCGGCAGCCCGGGAGAGGCCATGGCCTGCGCGCCAGCGTCCCCAGCCTCGACTGCACCGGCTCACCCGGGGCTGACCCCTGGGAGAGCGCAAGCAGACACCGGCCGGAGACGCCTCCTGCGGAAGACTAACTCCACGGGAAGGAGGGGGGGCAGGGAGGAGAGCGGCGAAGGGCGGCCCGGATTGGCTGCGCCCACCGCCTTCCCCGCCCTCGTCTCCAATCAGCGACGCCCGAGCAGAAACGGGGTCGCGCTCGCCCCGCTGTAAAAGCGGTCCACGGATGGGCGGGGCGAGCGCTCTGAAAGTTTGACCCCGGGTCCTGTTGAGCCTCTTCTCCGGGTCGGGCTGGGCATTTACTGTCCCGGACCAAAGATGCTTGCGGTACCACGCTTGCGTCCTGATTGGCTGTCGGATTTCCTCGGGTCGCCCACGTGCCATTTGAGTGTATAAATCTGCCTGGTGAACGGGCCCTTGATCACTCACCCTCAACACCAGCACCCCTACCCTAAGGTGGGAGAGTGGGGTCCCCGCCCCACCTCCGCAGCAAAAAGATGGGATTCGGAGGAAGGGACTCATTCCTGCCCTCAGAGACAAGAGGATGATAGGAAAGCAAAGTGCAGAATTTGCCAGTGCAGGAGGCTATCGCTGCGGGAAGGAGGGGCAGGGGTGGCCTAAGGGGGG